CGTAGTCGACGGATATCCAGTTCTGCTTCTCAGCTACAGTTTCCCTTTGCATTTTTCAGTTCGAATAAACACCATGATTTCTCAAAAAGCATCCAATAATAATTGCTTGCACACGGACGCTTTTTCTCTTGATATATTGTTCAACATGAACCACTCATCTTTTCTTAACCTACATTATATGAGAAGCATCATTTCAGTGAAACTGACGAGAAAAAAGATGGAAATGAGCCATGCGCTATATTTTGCCTACTACCATACTAAACCGTCTTGACCACTGAACTCTGCTTCATTTGCATCAACATCATCACTCCAAAATGGCCCATAGATTAACTCCTCAGTTTTGTTGTTCCGGCTGCCCTTTTCGAGCTTTGGTGTGGCATCGCCGTTGGTGTGAGCTAAGTAGGCATGACTACAGCAAGCACAAGTGCGTTGAAGTGTCTGCTAAGAAAGCAGACCGCCACCTTCACGGTCATGCATCGAAAAACATTCCTTGACATTATTAGCTGTTAACGACTTATAACACTAGTTTAACGGACTTCTGACAAGCAGTATATCCAACAGTCAGTGGTACTTCCTTTACTTCCTGCAGCAGTTAAAAGTAGTTCCTCACAAGAACAGAGATCAACCATTGTATTACATGTATGTAGATTTGTGGCGAGATTTAATTTCCCTTCGATTTCCATTTTATTCTCTGTCAAAAGTGATTATTTAATAAACGTTTAGAATAGTTAGTTTAAAATAAACTAGGATACAGAACTCGTTGGTAAGATTTAGAAGGTTTTTTCCTCACTAAACCATAGTGCAAAACACCAAAATATTTATATTTCGTCATAGTGCATAATGCAACGCCAAATACCGTGCATTGGGCTAAGTTGTGCTTCGACAATTTCGCTACAAACTTCAGCTGTAAAACAAACTTTTTTACCAAACTCACCACGGATAGAAGTTGATTTGGTTCTCCACTATTTTAAATTCACCTTAAAAATCTGCATATGAGAAATACAGCACGTAAGATACTGGACTGTTGTATGACGCACTTGACAGATTTGTTTGTGTTGGTCGTGGAAAATAGCCTAATGTGATCAATTGCCAAGGCTTTACAGTGTGCTCATAAGATTCGTCTTCGTCAAAAATCAAATCTGTTGGCAACTGGGTCAAATTCTAATGGTTTCGCTCTCCCAGTAGACTTTGCTACTTGCGTTTGTCGGAGGTAAGAAGCACTAGCCTTCCGGAGGACTTTGGAATTTGGTGTGCCTGAGAAGCCTCATTGTAACGTGGGTTCATGTAGCTGTGGATGACAGGAATTGCATGATCGACTTGATGGCGACAGGAATACCGTTAATTTAGCCTCTTGATGGTTAAAACAGGTGCCCTGGTACGTTTTACGATGTCTTGACTGTCACCTACATAACTGGCGTCAAGAAACACGCCCCGAACACATTCTTCAAATATAGTTTATTTTTACTA